CGCGTGTGTAGATGTTTTCCTATCACCTCAGCAATTGTGAAATTTATGTCACTATTATGACGACTGGAGAGCATTGACCACGGTTGAGTATGCACCCTAGCACCTCATATAACTATGAAATTTAGATTACTAATTTTTATGCAGAATAGAGAATATCAGGGGTGAGTTGTTCCAAGGAGAGAATATCAGGGGTGAGCAGGCTCATTTCCATCTCAGAAAATAGTGGACATATAAAATATGCATCAGTTGGGAGTAAGTTAGGTTATATTTAGATGGTGCTCTTGAGACGAATGAATAAGGTAAGCATAAGAAATATTTTAATAATTAAAAGAACTCTTGAAAATGAAATAAAAGTTAATGCGCATAGAATTCTAAATTATTTTTGAGTAAATGTAATATTATATTTGCATTATTATATAATTTTCTTACAACAATTAAAAATACTAGATACATATTGTCTTCTTTTCATTGGGTTACTAAAGTTTAACAGTATGATTAATTAACTTGATTATCTTGGATAGCTCATATTATTTTAATAAATCTTTAATTTAAGCTTTTGAATAGAAGATGAGTACTAAAAGAAAGTGTGTACAAAAAGCGAGGTCAACAAGTGAAATCTGTTGAATGTGACTGAACGTTGTAGTCTCCTGGTAAATCAATCTTGCATGCATTGTCATTGAGTTTTCGCAGTATTCTAAAAGGTTCGTCTACTCTGGGTTTCAATTTCTGAATGCTTCTATGAGGAATCGTTTCTTTTTAGCCGAATGCAAATGAGATCAGCTTCTTGGAATGTTACCTTTTTCCATAATTAATTTGCTTGTGCTTGATATTTTCTGTTTTGTCTAGCAATCTCGTTGCCTACCTCTTCGTGTATTTGTTGGATCCTGTGAACCTATTTTGTAGCATCTTGGTTGTTCTAACGTCGGCAAGAATGGAATCAGGTCAAGTGGTGTGAGCAGATTGCGGTTGTAGACATTCTCAAATGGACTGCGTCACGTTGTATAACTTGTGGATCTGTTATAAGCGAACTCCGCTTGAGCTAGAATAAGGTCTCATTGTTTGATATTCTTTCCCACAAAATATGTTAGCAGGTTTCCCATGCACTTGTTCACTATTTCGGTTTGGTCGTCTGTCAATGAATGCGCTGTTGAACTGAATTGAACATTCGTGTCTAACTTCCCCAATAAGATTCTCTAAAAGTGGTTTAGAAAATTGACATTCATGTCAGAGGTAATTATTATGGGGATCCTGTGAAACCTTACAATTTCCGTGAGGTATAACTCAGAGATATGAGATGTGCCATTTTTTAAAATCGGTCTACGACCACCACTAGAGAATCTTTGTTACTCTATATCTTGGGGAGACATAGTACGAAGTTCATACCGATATCCACCAAAAGTGTTTCTGGTACTGGTAACAAAGTATATAATCCTACATTATGCCCTCTTGTTTTTTTCAAATGGTAAATCATGAATTGTTAGACGTGACGCTCCACATCCCTTGTTAGTTGAGGCCATAAAAAGTGTTCTTTGATGAGGGTGAGAGGCTTGTCTCTGCCAAAATGGCCTGCAAGGCCTCCATTATGGTTCTCTTGTACAATTGCTTCTCTCAAAGAGCATCTCGGAATGCATAGTTTATTGTGGTAGACAACTAGCAATCTGCGCGGTAGTATTGGCCAGTTGTCTTTTCCTGACTTTGTTCGCAGATATCATTGAAGCCTTCGTCTGACGTGTACAGGTCTTTGATGATCTCAAATCCTACGACACTTGTTGGCATATAAGTGATTAATAAGTGACGCCGGCTTAGTGCATCTGCAACACGATTCTGACTCCCGGCTTTTTGTTTAAGCATGAAATTGATGCCAAAAATTCTACCCAAGTCGAGTGCCGACCTTTCAACGAACTCTGGTTCAAAAATTTTAAGACTTCATGATCTCTGAATAATGTGAACTCACTTGTCAATAGATAATAAATCCAGTGCTCGAGGGCTCTTACAATTGCGTAGAACTTTTTTATCGTATATTGTGCATTTCCTTCTAGACTTGTTAAGTTACTCACTGAACAAAGCAATGTTGCACTGGCTTAGTACGGCCCATATTCCAATGCACGACACATCACATTCTACTTCGAATAGTTGTGTAAAATTTGGTAAGGCTAGAATTGTCGTTTGTGTTGCTTTCTCTTTTAGTGTGTCAAAGCTAGTTTGAGCGGTACTTGGCCATGTGAACTCCTTGCTTTTGAAAGTTTCATTAGAGGAGCGACAATAGTGCTAAAATGCCTGATAAAGCGATGGTAAAATGATGTCAATCCCAAAAACTGTCTCAATTCGATGAACAATTGTGATGTGGTCCAGCTTATAAAAGCTTTGATTTGTGTTGGGTCCATTTGAATGCCTGCGCTAGATACTATGTAACCCTGAATGCATACTTGATTCCTCATGAAAGTACATATAATTTCTCGTTTCGCAGTACTTCTAACACTGTATGGGCATAAAATTTCTCGTTCCGTAGTACTCTAATACCGTTCTTAAGTGTTCTAAGTGTTCCTCCTCAGACTAATTGTATACCAATATGTGATCAAAGTAGACTACGACGAACCACCTGATGTGGTTGCAAAATATCAGATTCATTAATCTCATGAAAATATTGGGCTCATTTGACAGACCCAAGGGCATAATTGTCCACTCGTAGTTTATCTCGTGTCTTGAAGCTGATTTTTCATTCATCTGACCTCATCCGTATTTGGTGATACCCACTTCGTAAGTCGATATTTGAGAACATAGTTGATCCATGTAATTGGTCCACGAGGTCATTTAAGCGAGGTATTGGGAAGCGGTATTTGATAGTTATTTGTTGATGGCTCGGCTATCGATACACATTTGTCATGACCCGTCTTTCTTGGGCACCATTAGGGTGGGCACAACGCATGACCTTGTACTTTCTCTAACTAGCCCTCTGGTGATGATATCTTGCACCTCTCATTGTAATGCCTCCTACTATGTGGGTCTTAGCCTGTAGGCGGGTCAATTTGGTAAGACAAATTATGATATAAGATCTACGGCATGTTGGATGTTCCTTGGTGATAATGGTCCCTCTGGCAAACTATTTGTCACGACACCTTAGAAGTCATATAGTAGTGGTTGTAGAAGTTCTGGTATCAAGTTCTCTTCATCTGCTCGAGTCGGATTAGGGCTAGTGTCATCAAGGCATCTCGAACAAACTGCATGAAACTAGCTCGCAAACTACTGCTTCCTTAGTGTCACCTACTCCTCTTGTGTCCTTAGTTGGTAGCAAAACAATGTGTTTACCATCCTTCTTGAATATGTATTTTTGAAGCCATCAAGTTGAGCTTTCCGGTCGTATTGCTACCAATCCCCCCTGCTTCCTTTCCCCTTTCCTTTTTCTCTTCCCCCTCACCTGTACTTTCTCTCCCCCTCACTCTTTCTTTCCTCGCACTTTTCTATTTTATATTTTATTCTCCTTTATTAATTTAAATCATTTCCTAAAACCTGAAATTGTGGTTATATTTTATTTTTTTTTCTTCTTTTTATTACCTAAATAAGTCCAGTCTCTTTATAAAAAGGGGATTATGTGTTTAGAGTTAAAGGACTTGTTTTTTAATATGAATTCAATATTGTCTTAATGTTTCCCGTCCTTGAGAGTTGTATTCAACGACGAGGGAGGTGCTCCGGCTGTAATCCCGTCTAAGGTGGTGATTATCTCCATCATCCCCGACTCCTCCCTGCATCCTTGCAGGCCACCGTCGCTCATGTCACCTTCCAGCAACAGCAGGCTTCCTCCCGAATAGCCAGCACTCTCCGCACCTCCTCTTTGCTTCCTGCAGGCCATCGTCGCACCTGTAACGTCCAACACTCCCTCGGTAGCTCCCTGCCTTATCCTTCCACCTCCCAGGTCGCCATACTTCCTCTCTGCCTCCAGCAGCCCGTCTGGCTATTCCAGCACCTCCTGCCAGCTGCAGGCCTCCTTCCTGCATTCCCACGGCCTCAGCAGCCCTTCTTCCTCCCTACCCCTGCAGGTCGTCGCCACCTTGACGCCAACCTGCCCTACAAGCCACATTCTTCACCCTTGCCCCTGCAGGCATCGTGCCGCCACCCTGCCCCAGCAGGCCACATCTCCCCTGCCCCTGCAGGCATTGTGCCGCCAACCTGCCCCTGCAGGCATTGTGCCGCCAACCTGCCCCTGCAGACCACCTCTCTTCCGTCTCTTGCAAGCTGCCATCCACTGCCTCTTTGGGTTCAGCCTTTGATGACGATTCCTGCTTCCCGAGCTGCGATTTGACGCCTCTGCTATCACTAATTTGCTGCTCTACTTCTTCCACAGCAGCCTGACGCTTCTCTGACCTTCGTCTCTGCCTTCGCAACACCTCCCCAGACTCCCTCCTCGTCAAGATTGTAATGTCTTCTTTGTTGAGTCATTGTTTGTAATCACTTGTTTTGCGCTTTTGCTTTGTATTTTTTTTTTAGTCTTTATTGCACCCTCATTTTAATTCATAATAAAATTATGTCTTGCGTTGTCATTTGGATTAACACTGGTATCAATAGATTACATTAAAAACTTCATGAATAAAATTCATTTACTGCATATCAATCATTGTTGGGTACCTTTGAGCATGTGCCTTATCCTTTCACGAGGACGCCTAATTCTAGAAAATGATAAAAAACTTGGTTATCGAGAAACTTCTTCTATAAAAAACGTAACAACATTTATTAAACACGATTAATTATAGAACTGTTAATGTGAATGGTATTGAAACTTTGAATCAATCAATTAATTTTTCAAATATATTATGCATTATATTGACCACACAGGATTGTCAATAATAACAAATTCAAAAGCTTCAAACTTTACGAAAGGAGGAAAAGAATGATATCACAAAACAAATGGCAAATAAACCTTAGAAGAAATCTATTTCTAATTAAAATGATAGTAAATACAAAATTGATAAATTCCCAATGCAAGTACAAATAATATCTAATATCACCTGTATAGGAAGGGAAACACCAAGTGCCGTCTTAATATCAAGAACAACCTTAGGGTTGCCATCCCACTGCAGCTCAAGCTCCATAGTTACGCCAGAATCATCATTTTCAATAATAGAAACCCCTAAAGAGCATCGAGTCAATTTATAAATCTTACTTAGTATTGTACAAAGACGTTTAAATTAACTAAGAGAATTAAATCGATACACTAAAAAAATTGCTCAGCGCCCACGTGAGATTGCAAATAAAATTATACTACTTTTCTTCCAACTTTATTATGTCTTAAAGGAGCATTACACCAAGATGTATGCAGTCAAGGAGATAAAGATAACATCTACAAGTTTTCTCGTACATATATCATTAAACTCTGGGCAAGGAAATAAATACAGAATTTAAGAAGGAGCATAAAGTATCTTTAAAAAACCGATACTAAAATAGACTGCTAAGCTAAAACAAAGCATAAGAAAATCAATGAAAATGATGCGCCCACAAAAAACACATCTTGCTGTTTTTTCCTAGTAAATCAAAAGCTGATTTCAATTAAAATAAAGTGATTTCTTTGCAACTGTAACCATCCATCAAATTCCTGCAAATTATGCAGAAAATTTTGAATGACAGCCAAGGTACATTTTTTCTTGGGGTTTATCAGGGAAGGATATTGTTTCCTGATTTGCATTCCCCGTGCATGTTTACATGTTTAATCCATGAATCAATCAATGAAACATGCTTTGAATGGGGCTTTTAACGAAGGAAAATGTTTCAGCATGACACTTATCTTTCGTTCCTTTTCATCGTATGATGGGCCAGGGATTGGCGTGATGAGAAGATCCTATAATATTTTCCCTATGCTTTCATCACCTTATCATGTATCCTTATGTGTAATACAATATGATTTGATAATGGTTCATAGGGCAGTCAAAAAAGCTCGTTGTTCGCGAACAGCTCGTGTTCGGCTCGTTCGTTTACGAACAAATTTTTAAAGCTCGAATTATAAACGAGCCGAACACGAACAGCTTTTTGTTCGCTCGTGTTTGGCTCGTTTTAGCTCGGAAAAAAAAATTATATAACTATTTATATAACAATATATTACATATATTATTTATATAACAATATATTATATATATTTATGTATAAGTGTCATGCTGAAAAATTTTCCTTTCATGTCATGGTGAACATATTGTTTTATTGTTCTTTTGTATATATTTGATCCAAAATATGTACATATATGTACATATTGTCATGGTAAAAAATTTTCCTTAGTATTTTCTTTTGTATATATTTGATCCAGGTTCGAATCCCACATTTTACAACTATTTTTCTCAATTTAAGTTTAACGAAACAATTTCGAGAAGAACACGAGCCAAACACGAATTTTTAAATCGAGTTGAACACGAACACATTGTTCACAAGCCAATTTCGAACACGAGCCAATTTCAAACACGAGCTATTTCGAACGAGCCAAGCCCGAGCTTGCTTAAGCTCGTCGTTTACAGCCCTAATGGTTCGAGATGATTCACATATACCCTAACAACAGGCATGAAATACATCATGTTGATTTCATGGAAAAAGTGACCTACATCTGTTTTGATAATGGTTCGAGATGGTTCCCATGTGACCTAATAGGCATGACATGCATCACTTAATTTCATGGGAAAAGTGATTTGCATGTGCTCCAACATAGTCTATAATGGTGTACACGGAATCCTGCATGCTGTCTCCATTGAATTAGATGTAATACCATTCAATTATTTTGTGCTTTCCATTGAGGTAAATGAAACACTACATGATTTTTTACATGCCATCCATAATCTATGCCACTGACATGTACATGTTTAGTCATAACCTAGACGATGCATAACAATATAGTACGTGATGTACATGTAACAAAACCCAGTTTTTGTCCAGTATACAATCACAATTGTGAACTAGTTCGTCAACAAGCTGAAAATTATTTGATTGATTAGGGCACTGATGCTATCATTACCATGAAACTTAATAATATTCATGAATGCAAATTCATGGATAGGAGGTAAATTGCTCATATTATAAATTTAATTGTGCAAAAATGAATCAAAGAAGCTGAACAATATGTTCACCGTGAAAGGGCTACAATGTGATACATAAAACAATCATCAACTACGCTTAACAATTTTAATGAATGCATTGAGATGGACAAAAAAATCAAATAGTCTTTTCCTTAAACAAATTCATAAAATGAAATTCTGCGTGCTTAGAACACGGCATAAAAGTTTAAAAAATCTTTTGAGAGGTATAAGAAAGTCCAACCCAACTTCAGATTTGACTTGAAGAAAACAGACCATGGAAATGAGACCCCGTTGAAGGTGATTGAGGAAATATTAGAATGTTGGTTTCTTTCACAGAGAATTTTACAAGCTGGCCTTAAAAATTTTTGGTTTTTTATATACGACATCTAATATAAATAATGAGGTTGACGTATTAAATTAATATCTTTGAGAACCATGCAATTCCAAATTTTATAACCTTAAGAAACCTCTTGCTCTTCAAGGTATTAAATTAAATAAATTTAATTACTGTTTATAATTTTATAATTTTAATTATGCTTCCTTTAAACAATGTCGTTGTCAGGTCCCAAATCTCGTATGCGAAAAGTGAAAAGTTATGTTAAGTAGTAAACAGCCAGAATAAAAATTGTATCAAAAAAAGTATGATATGAATCATTTAAATCATTGTGTCAATGCTAAGGCATCCACTTAAAGTGATGAAATGCATTGCTTGAATACAATGAAAAGTGTGTAATGGTCACTGCATCGGCACTCGGATGTAGTGTTAAATAAGTAATGATTCTGACATTATCAACAAGTGTAGGCAAATAAGTTAGTCCTTTAAACTAATATTAAAATATGAACTTAGACAACAAGTACTATCACAGGTACATCAAAGAAATTAGTAGATATTATGATTCATAAAAAAAAAACATCTTAAGCATTCAAAAAACAATATGGGTTGGAGAAAAGACTAAATAGATTAATAGTTTAGATTTTAAATTTTAGTATTCAGATAGGAGTCGTACTAGAAACATTGTAAATATAATTAAATATAAAAATATAAGATATAATGTTGTAAAAATTAATAGAATTAAAGCTGATTATAACTAAGCAATATTATCAATACTAAAATTATTAATGTTATAAGTACTTATAATCCCCAAGTAAATTTAAATATATATTAAAAAAAATTAAATGACCAAGAAAAATTAATAAAAAATATATCTCTCGAAAAAAAAAAAATGTAGAAAATTTTAATAAATAGGTTGGTAGAATTATAGAAAATTTTAAAAGCATTCATGCTTGTTATAATTTTAAAGTGACTATTGAAGTAGATATTTATATTGAATTTTGTTTTAACTTACGATTTTAATATTGTCAATGCACATTAAAGAAAAGAGATGAGTTTTGATACGTCACCAACAAATTTTTATCATCCGACACAAATCTCAAGGCATAACACGGATCTCGAGATAATATCTTGAGCAAGAAACATTCAAATTTCAATTAAGAGTCATTCAGAGCTTCGATTTCAACAAACTTATAGTCAAATTGACCGACTCAATTAGACGGACAACGATATCAAAGTTAGTTCAATCCAAGTCAAATCAAGCCCAGATTAAGTGATTAAGTCATTCTTGAAAAATTTTCGAACACATTTGAACGATCAAACAAATATCGAATTCAGCGAATTTATAGTCGAATCGAGCATCTCAACAAAAAGAATCCAACGAGACCAAGATTGCTCAATTCCGACATCATTAAAGCACTCAAATGTCCATCAAACGTCATCCGATCAAGGGAAGCCCTCTGGACAGTCCTATCAAAATGGTTCATATTCTTGCATTAATTGCACTCAAAACACTATAAATAAAGTCTCACCCCTCACATGAAAGGGAGGAGGCTTAAGAGAGAGTTTGAGGCTTTGAAAAGAAGCTCAAGTCCAAGATCATCCTCACTATCGTCGATCGTCGTCGACCACCACTGACCGTAGGCCACCATCCCCAACCTTTGTCGACCACCACCGACCATCGTTGTAGGCCACCATCACCAACCTTTGTCGACCACCACCGACCATCGTTGATTACCGCCGACTATCGTTGACCTCCGACGACCACCGTCGACCATCATCGACTTTCATCAGTCATCGCCAACCTCTGTCGACCATCGCCGGCCACCGTTGATCGATGTCGATCACCGCTGACCTCCGAAGACCACCGCCGACCGTCATCGACTTTCAACAGTCACCGCTGACCGTCATCAATTGTCGTCGGCCACCGTCAATCACCGCCGACCTATGCCGACCACCGTTGACTAAACCGACATTGTGCCTTGGACATTTGAACGATCAAACAAATATCGAATTCAGCAAATTTATAGTCGAATTGAGCATCTCAACAAAAAGAATCCAACGAGACCAAGATTGCTCAATTCTGACATCATTAAAGCACTCAAATGTCCATCAAACGTCATCCGATCAAGGGAAGCCCTCTGGACAGTCCGATCAAAATGGTTCATATACTTGCATTAATTACACTCAAAACACTATAAATAAAGTCTCACCCCTCACATGAAAGGGAGGAGGCTTAAGAGAGATTTTGAGGCTTTGAAAAGAAGCTCAAGTCCAAGATCATCCTCACTATCGTCGATCGTCGTCGACCACCACTGACCGTAGGCCACCATCACCAACCTTTGTCGACCACCACCGACCATCGTTGATTACCGCCGACTATCGTTGACCTCCGCCGCCCACGTCGACCATCGCCGGCCACCGTTGATCGATGTCGATCACCGCTGACCTCCGAAGACCACCGCCGACCGTCATCGACTTTCAACAGTCACCGCTGACCGTCATCAATTGTCGTCGGCCACCGTCAATCACCGCCGACCTATGTCGACCACCGTTGACTAAACGTCGTTAGCCGACATTGTGCCTTGGAAAGCTAGTAATTCTTCCTCGTCTGTGGGACAAGGGACATTGCTAATCATTAACTTATAATAGATTTTTACAATTTTGTCAAACCCCGTGGTTTTTCCCCTTTATGGGTTTTCCACGTAATAACTTCTGGTGTCATCACTGATTGTTTCAATTTCATCT